GTGGCTGCTTGTACTAGCCCAGACTTAAGCTGGTTTTGTAGTGCTGTTTTATAGATACGATGCCGCAGTTAAGCATGAATACACGACTCACACACATTATACTAACTCCGAGCCGACCAGTCCTTGTTGGTCCCATTTAATACCGAGTGCCAGGCAGGGACCAACAAGTAACATATTTTAACGTCTTTTGGTATGATGTGGCTGGGGATTGAACCTGCTACCTTCCGCTCTCCGGGTGGATGCTCTAACCACTACACCAAGGTGGCAGTCAAAAGACAACCAGAGACACTAAAGCAAGGTTGAAAGGTAAGTGTTGAAAGTACATTAATTAAAACAATATGGAAACAAGCAAGTGTAATACTATTGTAATCATTTAGTACATTGTGTACCATGGCATACAGCCTAGAGGGCTGAAGGTCACATAGAAAAGTGTCAAATGCATAAAATTAGGAATGGTAAAATTTGAAAGCATTAAAAAAACAAACCATGTACACAACAATAAGAAACATTTCTTTCTTTAGCTTAAGGGCCGTAGTTTGAAGAACGCAAAGTTGTAAATTTCAGTTGCTTCAGTCCCCTGTGGAGAGTGTCGTCAGCAATGACATGGTGGCATCAGCTCTGACCAATGAATATGCAACAGATTCATGAAGAATATCAAAATTACCTCTGATACCAACTTCCTCTCAACATAGTGTTCAACTCCCTGATTGTTACTATGACAATGACAAAGTTCGGAATTCCACACCTTAAACCACAACTAATGATCCCATTCTTTCCGTGCAGTTGTAGCCAATAGGATGTCAAAGTCAAGCAAGTGGGTGAAGTATCATACGCTGATGACTGAACCAGATATTCTTGGCATGGCAGGTCTGTCATGAGGCAACCAACCAAGAGAATCTGCTGCAGCTGATGGGGAAAGGGTACAGAGACTATCAGCCCACTTCCTCAGATACATAATTAGACCTGACATGATGTACCTACACACATATCTCCTCCCCACTATGCAGTACCTCCTGCTGCCCATAGAGTCATCACTATCTCCTCATACGTCCAGCCGTCACCAGCCACCTACAAGTTCATCCATCTAGCTAAATACTGCCATGCACCTGCTCACATATATCTGTGAGCATGTCAAATTTTCCACAATCTCTTAATTATGAATGTCACAGGTATTCCTTCCCTTCAGTGTTTAACCCTGTTGATATCACTATCAGATCAGCCTGTACACCTCCATCATTACGGGGCCCAAACATTTGATGTGTCATAAAGCTGACACATACCACATATACCTCAGAAAAAGTGTGCAACATATGTCTTGGTTGAAAGGGTGTAAGTCATGCCAAAATGGTATCAAGATACCCCTGGCATGTCAGTTTATCTGTGAAGAAGGATAGACCAGTATATAAGTAGTGACTGCTTGCACACAATTCCACAGGCTACTGGGACAGGCTTGTCGCACACAGGACATGCTGGCTGTTGGAAGAACAGGTAGGCATTACCATGATTACTGTTCCCCTTACTGTGCAGACAATTGTTGTAAGTCATGGATTAAAATATTTCACAGCAATGAAGTTATCTGCAATACAGTTTTTTTATTGTCAATGATAACTCCTGAAATACATCAATGAACAGTCAAGGTAAGGGCTAGGTTCTCTCTATCATACGCCACTGATAAAAGTGTCTCACATTGCCCATACCCAACATTTACTGTCCTGTTGTGATGCTGCTGCCTGCTCAGTTGATTGGGCCTGCTGTGTACAGCCTGTTAATATCTTCATGACTGGCCACCTATCATTTTGTCCATCTATCTTCTCTGTGGTCGGCACAAATGAATCCTTCTCAGTAAATGGGAAAACACCAAAAGAAGGAGTGTCCACTTTTGGAGCACCTCCCCTGTTGATTCTGTTACATGGTCAGCCTGTTCAACTCTTCAACAACAAAGCAGACCTTGGTTTTATAGTGTTGTAAACGTCATCAGTTTGATAGCCGGAGGAGGAAGATAATGGGACTTATCTGTTCCTTGGTATCAAGCTATCCCTATGGCCATGCACAAGCCTACAGAGGGCCTGTTCCTTGTTGGTGGATATTACACACAAGGTATTACCGTAATGAAAGCTGGCTTGGTGGCACACAGATAAATGTTTATAGATGATCAAAAAGTCATAACCTATGCAGCACCTAGCATAAACTGTTTTAATATGCCTTTATAGGAAACTAAAATCTTTGTGACAAGCCAGTACAAGCGCAATGGCCTTGTGCCTATCTTAGGGCTGGAAGCAATCAACTACAGAAGGGACTGGGTTAAGTCCAATAAACATTTCAACAAGATGGCTCCTTGCTAGTAGCAATCAGACAGCAAAATCTTTAATTTAACTATTTACATAATAAGTGGGTAATTTGCCACCTGGCCAACAGTCACTGCTTCCCATACACAACCACTAATGTTGCAGATAAGGGACTAAGAATGGCTTTTAACAATTGGAATGGTACATTTCCATCTAGCAGTCAAACAGTGGAATTACTCAACATTATTCTTAGACATGTCTCCTGATTTTAACCAAGAAAGCCTGAATCTGAATCACCCAAAAATGTTTTGGTTTCACGTTAACTTGCATCTGGAATAATATTTGAGAAAATCTTAAGTTAGTTATTCAATATGTTCTGTGTCTTTGGCAAAAAGAATGCCCAGATTGATTCAGTTGATGATGTACATCCACAAAGTGGGCAGGAGTGTGTGCCTTGCAGTGTTTACCAGGAGTACCTCCTTGTGTCAGACTCAGTTACACACAAGGCCCAGTTGCTTCCCACTGAATCAACACAAGAGAAACAGCTCGTACATTTCATATGTATCAGGTTTTGACCATAGTAAGCTTCATGGTGCAATCATGTGAGAAGGAATTATGCTGAATCATTTGCCAAGCTACAGGTGAACTGCCAATATAGAATTGCAGAAGCAATCATGGTGTATAAAATTTGTCATAGAACTGCTGGTTGACCTAATAGTAGTAAAGAGACATGAGAATTTATTGTGTATCATTACAAGTGACAAGTCATACCAGATTTCTCTTCATTGCATATTTCACTCATGTCTCCACAGGTAATATTGAAAAAATTGTCAGTTTACTTTGATGGTTTAAGTTACGTGTAGAAATACCTCTTTTGTTTTAGCTGAAGGAATGTATACATGGATGCCAACTCATTCATCAATATCTTCTGGATTACAAAAGGTTATAGCCAGTTAATCAGCAATCACAATTTTTATCTATAATAATTTGGCATCCAAAACATTCAAAGGCTACATGTTCAAACTGCAGTCGGGACAGTGCCAATTACAGTAATGAAATTTTCTTGGAAATCAAAATCAGAAGCATATTATTATGCAACAGCTTAATATCTCACTTCTCTCTCTCTTCATATGATCCTTGATATTTTTCGTTTAGCCCTAACATCATGAAATAGCTATTGTGCTAGTGTGGAGTCCAGCAGGACCAACTTGCATGGCAATCAATTAGTGTAATCCAGACAAGGACATTTAGGCTTGGCTCCTTATCTAAATGCATCTGTGTCTGATTAATTCCTTTCATTTATGCAACTCACACTACACTGTCTAGGCTGATGACACATGATTCCATGGGAAAAATTAATCTTACACTTCATAAAACATGAAAAACACAACAATAATGAATATTAGTTGGAACATGTGCAGCTGTTAACTGATGGAAGAGCTGTATCCCTTTTCTGACATGCAACAAACGAACTACAGCAGGACATCTGTTCTGCAACATGACATAAAACTGAATAGAAACTGAAAACCAGGTAAAACAAGGGAAAATGAAACATACAGTGTTGGTCTGGCAAGGCATAGTGTAATCCCGGCCTTCAGTGAGATTGTAGGGGTGATTCACTTACTTCCCCACTCACTCCAGCAACTGAGGCAGGGGTTACTTCCCTTACATTATTCCCTTACAAAATTACTCCTTCAAGTTAATGCTCAGATGACTTGTTCAACTCACCACTTGAGCTGCTGTACATCACTAAAGAAAACATGCATTACTGGTTACAACATCAAAAGCATTTTGTCTTCTCGACACAGAAGGTAGAAATATTTACATGAAACTATTTCCGGCACTGTTCAAAGCTAGAAAGCAAGAAGACTGGAGGAGATGTCATAGAAGTGTTCCAATATATTTACTGTGATTGTGTTGCTATTTACTAGATTTGGTCCTGCAAAAAACTCCTATGTTCTTATGGACAGCAAAAACATCAAGCGAGTGCTTTATCAAATGAAAATGGACAAGTATGGACCCTACCTGTTTCTTAAAACATTCGTCCATCATTGGGCTTACACAAGGAAATAGTGAGGAAAATATGCCTATAAACAAATGAGTACTTGTAGCATTCTTTCCCCAAAACTCCATACAAATGCCTTTGTTGGACTGTGTGCTGCGACTGGATGTCCATGATTTAGCTGTGTGAGCTGTAACACATACCTTGCAGGGACATAAAGCCACACCATTATGGGTGGCAGCTGTACAGATTAGAGCACAGTTATTATTCCATCATAAAACTACTGATGTGCAAAACTCTCACATAATAACACCCATAAAACCTGGTGCTCACATGGCCAAAGCTGGATGTAAGAGCTATTTCTACTGCTGGTTTTGTCTTTCCAAAACACATGTTCAGTTAGGACAATGACAGTTATGGCATGGTCATTAATGCATAACAAAGATGACTTTCCGTAAAAGCGGTAGGCAACTGGCGGAGTTGTGTGTCCACACACTGGGACAATGAATGTCAGTTTTAAACAAAGACACATAAAATGCATTCAACTGTTCCATTCAAGAGCAGGGGAGAGTGGCCTACCAACAATGAAGCTACAATTCAAGCTCCATGTGTTACAGGATCATGATTACTGGGTACATAAGCCTACACAAGCACTAAGACAGCAGACACACATGCTCTACACAGTGACAAGACAGAGATCAGAGTGAGGCTCCTACCCTTCATACCTGACCACTTTCTCCCTAGCAGCATGGAACACAGACAGTTAGTTCATTGACTACATCATACCACATGAATATGTTGTAAACTCCATTTAGTGTATTTTGGTGGTTTAATAATGCATATTACATGCAGCATATTACATAGAGGATACTAAAGAACCTCCTGTGTAATACCACTTTTATTTAATGAGTTAATGATTCGGTATCAAACGAGCGAAAGTGAGTTAGATACTAAATCTTTCACGATTTTAATAAAAATGGTATTTCATGGAAGCAAGTTTAGTATTCTGTTTATTACAACATAATTTGACAGAAACTGCCTACAGTGTGATGACTTTCAGCTTTCCGTGAGTCAAGCAAGGTCTAATACCATTGTGAGAGAAGTATTAGCATTGTGACATCATAACTGTAAACTATTATGATGTCATACGTCTAGCGGTATTATACTAGTGTAATATTGTTGTACAAATATTACACTGCAGTATCTTCCATGGGTGCATATTTACAACCTTCTCAACAGTAGCAATCATGTTTCACCTTTGTGCTAAACCACCATATCCAGTTTCATTTTTAGTTTAGTCACATCTTGTCACTATTCCAATTTAAGGGTTCAACAATGATCAAATGTACATATCACATTTTCATATTTATTCCGCCATCATGGAAAACACACACTTAAGATTTAATTTGGTAAATATTCTCTGTAGATGCAGATGGCAGCTGCCTAATGTTGCGCTATGAATATACTAGACTCTAACATTCAATGCATAAAACCAACATAGGAGCTGCTGTTTTGGAACTGTATACAAAAGATTGAAACCTATGTATTGTTTACCTTAAAATTTGATGAAATACCTTATGAATAATAATCTATCTGTGTCAAGCTGAAACTCTCTTATCAGGTTTAGAGAAAAGAAAAAAAATAACAATCAACAGGTATTGTCTCAGATGGTAGGAGTCTTGGGTGAGTGGACGAAGGAAGTGATGAAGTTCTATCATCTGACACTGGACAAAGTTATTCCAACTACACAAACATACAATAGTGGGTAGTTATCAACCTTACCTGTCTTCATAGCTGTAGGAGTAGTCACCAAAATCTTGGGAGGCATCGTCTGGATCAATTTGGCTCACAACTGAAAAATAGGAAAGAAGGACGATATCATTTGGGCATCAACATACCTGTACAATTTCCTTTTTACAGTAACTAGGTAGAGTGTGGTTAGCCACAGATATGTGTCTGAGAGTTTGGATGACCAGGCTATTCTGAAACCAAATATGGGTATGTTTATTGTCATGAATAAACACTGGCATCAAACATATTTTACATTTTTATAGTCAGTAAATTAATTCCTCAAAAGTGTCGGAGCTCCCAAGCGTTTCATTCATCACTGAAAATCAACCTAAATGATGTCTGTTGTCAGTGGTTAGTGCATATTCAGAGCACTTGGCCAAGTTTGATCCCAAAAGAGTATTTTCATCTCTTTGAAATCTGTGACTTAAGTGAGAGTTGATGGCAATAATTGACAAAGCACAGATACAACGACTCTTTAAATCTACCTGCCTGTTTGCACGCTTTGCTTCAAGAACCCTAGATTCCGAAAGGCAATGATGTTTCAGTAAATTGTTATCTTGCTTCATAGTCATATTATGACTGCCTGCCTCCCGAATGATATATCATATTCAGATAATGTGCTTTTGAGCCAAAGTTAGGCAGCTTTGCTTCTTTAAAGAACTCATTTCCATTTGTTTACAAAGCACTTAACTCTGATGTGTCAGTAGCTGTGTTGATGTAACACAAATTCATGAAAAGGCAATAAAGTATTATTCTATTCTATTCTAACCAGTTTGACTGTAGGGAACATATGATCTGCTTTAGGTTTTGAGGCAGGTCATAAAAGATACAACTTTTAAAACTATTTATTTGACACAACAGTATAAAGCTAAATCCATTGGTGTTACATGACAACTACCCTACCCTGGGCTACCAGTCACAACAGAATGAACAAAAGAATGAATCCTTAGTCAAGAGTTATTTGGCAAGCCTAGATTCCTAGATAGATCTGAAATTAAGACTTATTCTGGACACCATTTGGATTTTACATTTTTTAGATAGTAGAAATAGACTTTTAAATAAGGTAACTTTTATTTCAAAATCTAAACGTTAGTAGGTACCTGGTAGACTAGGTACCTGGCTACACTATCATCTAATGTGAAAGTGATAACACCCTGTCAAGCCATCCCACTATTCTTCTCCTTCCATATTTGAACCATGCTCACAATCACAAAAGCAAACTGGATGAAAAATGTTCTTTGTTCTTCATATGGGGCAAAAGATGGTGTGTACAACAAGCCAGGCTTCATGTGACATCCATTTACTTTCAAGTTGTATATTCCTGATCAAGTGCGATGCCTGGCAGCCAGTTAGCCAGTCCCATATGGGGATGATCCATTCTTCTGTCTTGCTCTTCAAAAATACTTCATCAAGCTACAGTGTTTATACCACTCACTCGTACACCATATGTTCTCTCCTTATCACAAAATCTGGATCTTTGCAAAATTGAAGCTCCATTTCAGGAAGTAAGTTATCTTCAAATATTCTGATATGATCCAGATTCATAACGTTTCTATGGCAACTTGTTTTTAGCAGGTTACATTAAAATGTATGGATCTGTTGGTGAGATAAGAGTCCCCATAAAAACCCCCATCCTGTCACTTGCCTCTTCCCATAGGAGTGTGAATTCAGCCGGGTTTATGCGCACCTTGCCTAGCCTTGTCATAAAGCCCCGTTATCTATACATGGAGAAAGCAGCCTGATGAGTAGCTGGTGCCAAGTCTTTCATGTAGCCTCCGCTACTGTGGTTTACATGCACCCTCAGTAGGCTGTTCCACATTCCCAGTCATAAACTGCAATGGTTAGCTAATGTGGCATACGATGTACATACATCTACAAAGGGTGCTGTGCGCCTCTTAATCAACATGTACAGATATGTGTCTGACTGGTGTTTGTTTGATCTGATATGGATGAACACTAAGCATGACTGATAACAGAAATGTGCTGCTACTTTTTATGCATATTTGCCTCATAAAATATATGTCATTATCATTTGTGTATTATTGGAGCAAATATTGGTGTGTTGTGTTTGTGTCGGATACCCCAAAACTCCAGATGATGTTTATCTCTGTAACTACATTCACACCACTGATCTGCCAGGCACAAGACTGCCACTGTGTATAGCTTGTATGTATGGTTTATTCATCATCTCCTTGGACAGACTTACACTAAGCTCACCTTACCTCACATATCTGCTGGCCACCCTAATCACCTCTCAGGACTCATTACAATCACTATCCAGTCTGGCCAGAGGTGCCAGAACAAAATAATGAGACCACAAGTCTCACACCAAGGGCTGCTGAGATCTTAATTTCTGATATCATACAATCCACATGGATGCAGCCATGGAAGAAAACATGAGAGCAGACACATATAAAACTCTGAACAGAGATGTTAATGAGAATGAGGTGCAGACAGAAACAGGGCATTTGATGATGGCTCATGATAAACATGCTGGTGAGGAGGAGAATATGGAATGTTACGTCCTTGCAGAGGCACCTTATGTTTTCATTACTACCTAACCATTCTAGTGGTTTCCACTGATTCTTTCATCTTTGCTGAAATACTTGTCTGTCAGCTCAATCTATTTGTATGTTTTCAAACTGATATGTTGAGAATAAGATGCATTTACATCTTGCAAATGGTACATGTTGAAATACCTCCAGAAATATTTTCATAAAATGATATTAATGAAACTATAATTCAAAGCCATTTACTTTATGCTTGTGAAAATTAGATGTGAAGTCGATGTTACATGTGGTGAGGAGTATTGTCTATGATCTCTTGTTAATGTAGATGTTTACTGGCTCCATGGGCTGAGTTCCAGGTGAGGGAACATGCACGGAAAGTTAAGTAGCCTCATTCCCCCAGAGGTCACAATTAGTGGATACACTCAGCTGTGCTAGCATAGGCAATCTACAGCCCATATGTAGCAGACATGGTCACCCAGGAAAGTAAGACTTCACTATAATTAACAACACAGGCAGTGAACCGTGGCCAGCACCCTCGTTGATGACACTGCAAAAACTACACCAAAGACTTTTTGTAAGTGAATGTCAGAATCTGATTAAAGAGTTGAAAAAGATTCCTTTGCCAGCATGAGTATGTGTGAGGCAGCAGAGATATAATGACAAGGAAACACAGGAGATTGATTGTGGTTGTAAACAGCAACAATAGTGGGCGGCCCTTGCTGCTGGTCATTTACCCCTTAGACATTCATCATCAAGTCTGCCTGACACAACCTGGGTATTTACAGAACATCATCTAAATGAATACAGGCTCACATAGGTTTTTACAATGTTCTGCTGCTTGAACTAAGTGAGGCACAAAATTAAAACACTTAAGCTTCTCATTAGCCACCAAGCAAAGACTTGTTACCTCCATACCCTTTTCCCTAGTGAGCAAGGTCAGTCATATGCTGTAGGTTCACCTTAGTCCTGCATCATCACTGGGAAATACAGGTCTTTCATGAAACCAAAATCAATTGAGGTTGTAAAAAGGCATGTCCAGCCAGCTATGAAATCAGGGCAAAATATTAGAGTGTATAATTGTATGGTGGAATGATTTTATAGACTGTATGTTGGTTTGTTTACCACTTCCTGCAGACAGCATAGCCAAATGTCAACTCTACACCATAGCAGGGTTGTTTTCTCCAGTTGTAACATGAACCATACTATTCCTTTACATTTCCCTGTACTTCTTGCCTAGTCCAGCCCCTGCAGAGACATGCTGGCATTGCTGCTGTAGTGTTTCCCCTACCACAGGGGACCAACCCACACACCCTTTGCCTCAGCCCCACAGCATCCAATCTAGTTATTATTTGCTACTACTGCTCAAAGGACTCCAGAGGAGTTAACTGTACACCAGCATTACTGAAAGGATCACCATAGGTTCTTTCAAAAATACTAGCACAAACTTCTCACTCTGACTCATGGCACCTTAAGTCCCTCATGGGGAACAAGCCCCCTGAGAAAAAAACAATGCAGAGCGATACAGGAAAAAAATCTGGGTTTCAACAAGCAGTAATTCAGTGGAATTCCCAAACTGGGCTGGACAAAGATATGATGCACTGAGCTAATATTATGACTTTTATGAAACTGTTAATTGTCAGTGTACTTACTTACAACTATTTTACCCGAATGTGTAGGCGAAAAGTCTGGAACAAGGAGGAGAAAAAGAATAACTTTACTTCTGTTTTCATATGAGTTTCCCATTTCCTCTGTTTTATTGCAACCATTTATTGCAAGGTTTGTGATGTGAGTAGACAAATGGTGAGCACAGCTGGTTAGCCAACAAACTGACACAAATCCCAATATATCACATGTCATTCTTCCCTCCCCAGTACATGGCTGGCATGCAAGACTGTACTACTGTACAGTTAGGAGCAAGAACTGGGTGAATCAAGGCACCTTGCACAGCAGAGGTCACTCTGACACTGATTACTGCCTAAATCTATTAACATGCCTCAAGTTATATCTTTTCTTACAACCCTGGAAGCAAGTATAGGAGATGTATATAGATTATCCAATATGTTTATTTGACAGTTTTAGTGTTTTCCTCAGTACGGAGCAAGCTTGTGCTGAGCTGATGTGTTCCACATGGCTGGGTCACAGTAAACAAACATACACCGGGGCCCCATGGTATTCCCATACCAGACATTTAACAGGTTTTCATAAGCTTAATCCTCTTAGTGCAACAGTGTTTTCTGAGTAAATACTTGAAGGTAATGGAAGTTCATGCTCAGCTGGCTACCTTACACCTAAATCAGCTAAATCTACATTGTCCATTGATAAATACAGGACACATAGTCTTTCTAAAATAAAACAAGTCCTTTGTTCCAAGTCAATCTTTCTTTACAGGAAACAACCAATGTGTCATTTGACTGCATCCCTCTAGCTATCAGAGATTGAGACATTTGTTGTGCCTGTATGCATGTTGAGTCTGAACAAATATATACATGTGACACACGATGGACAGGGTAATGTCGGAAGAAAGACATTAAACACACGATGGACGGTCCTG